TTTTGATTTCTTATTCTTTCGGCAAGTTTCGCCATTTCTGCATACAGTGGTACCTTGGGTTAAGAACTTAATTCATTCTGGAGGTCTGTTCTTAACCTGAAACTGTTCTTAACCTGAGGTACCACTTTAGCTAATGGGGCCTCCTGCTGCCACTGCACCGCCACCGCGTGATTTCTGCTCTCATCCTGAAGCAAAGTTCTTAACCCAAGGTACTATTTCTGGGTTAGCGGAGTCTGTAACCTGAAGCGTCTGTAACCTGAGGTACCACTGTATTCCGTAAGTTTTTGTATCCATTTTTCCTTTGCTGGGACTTCTGCTTCTTTCCTGCAATCTTGAAACTGGTTTTATAGCACTCAAGTGTTCAAAGCCAGTGGTGACCAGTGGGGTGGGAGGCAGGAAGCCCAGTGGTAGCTAAAATCAAAACCAATGATAGGTGGGTTGGACTAGATGACCCTCAGATTCCCTTCCAACTCAACCATTCTATGATTCCATATCCATTTCTTTGTTTGGGGCCATCTGCCTCCCTGCTGAGTTCTGCAAGGGAAAAAACTGAGCCTAAGGAGGAGGAAGCCGAGAGCCAGGGCCACCCCCTAGTCCAGTTTTAAGTAAGATAGCAGGTGGACGTATATTTCTAAGACCCACTTTATAGCTGTGATCCTAAGCTGTTTTAAACTCTCTTTAACACTGTGTTTTAATTGTAACCCACCTTAGGACCTTCGGGTGAGGACGAGGAGCTTTTAGGGCAAAAAATTTCATCCAAATGGCACAACAGGTGTACCCAGTTTAAATATATGAACAGCCCTGTTCCCAATTTAAAAACAAAGATGCCAAGCCATAGCTTTAAGGCTGCCAGCTAAGCTCCGTTCTCAAAAGAGCACCGTCCCATTTCCCAAAGTACAGCTGAATTAGGAACTATCTTGGGATCTTGTAGGAATGACAACTTGTACATAATTTGGCACGGATGATGCTCCCCCTAAGCCAAATAGCAGTTCCCTAAATAAATTGGGAGGTTATCCTAGCATTAAAAACTTTTAATAGCTGCAAAAACATGCGAAACCCCTTTGGTGTAAAAGAAAACAAAAACCCTACAGTATACTATGAATTTCCTGGGAAGCAAAGGATCTGTGAGTGGTTCATGATATAGTATGATGAAATACCACCCCCCAATTATTGGAAGCTTTAAACTTATCCCATAATTTGGGCATCCCAAACTCGCTTATGCTGGGAAAACTTTTCTAAAATTCTTTAACTTCCCATAATTGATCTTCGGTCAATTGTGGTTAAAGGTAAAAGGTAATGGTACCCCTGACCATTAGGTCCAGTCACAGACAACTCTGGGTTGTGTGCTCATCTCACTCTATAGGCCGAGGGAGCCAGCGTTTGTCCGCAGACAGCTTCTGGGTCATGTGGCCAGCATGACTAAGCCACTTCTGGCAAACCAGAGCAGTGCATGGAAACACCGTTTACCTTCCCGCCGGAGCGGTACCTATTTATCTGCTTACACTTGACGTGCTTTCAAACCGCTAGGTGGGCAGGAGCTGGGACCGAGCAATGGGAGCTCACCCTGTTGCGGGGATTCAAACCGCCGACCTTCTGATCTGATCGGCAAGCCCTAGGCTCTGTGGTTCAGACCACAGCACCACCCGTGTCCCCTTCAATTGTGGTTACAATAGATTAAATACTATAGTGTGTGTGTGTGTGTGTGTGTGTGTGTGTGTGTGTGTGTGTGTGTTTTGATGGTTTCTAGGAACTGCTGCTCTATGATGAGTGAACTACAGAGCCCAGAATTATCTAAGAGAAAGAAAATACTTGAAAGGTATAGTGTGTACACAGCCTTAGATAAGAAATGTTTTAATCCAAGTCTAGAGCAAAAAAATAGCAGTTATATCACAAGAATAAAGGAGCATACAATTATTTTCTATTTCCTAGTTTGGATAGGTGCCCATCAAGAAGCGGGTGGATTCCTGAGGATGCCCCTGCCTTGAAATCTTAACGGGAATCCAATGGGAGATTGAAATCACCACCCCAAGCAGTATTTTTCATTCCCTGCAGGGAAGGCCAGGCCCTACAGTGTAAAGCGGTCATTTCAGACAACAGTTGCTGGGAGGAGGGACAGTGGAGTGTTGGAGGAGTCATAGTGAGATGGAAAACAGAGTTGTGTATGCCATGCTATTTGCCTTCAATGGGGGTCAAGTCTGGCTGAGCTTTGTGCAGAAGGGTGTTATCCTGTGCTTTTTCTCAAGCAGCAAAATGTCTTGGGTTGGCCCTGCCTGAGGAATGTGGCTTGGCTCACTTATTTGAGTCATCCCGAGCAATTTGAGCATTGCTGTGTGACGTGCTTGCTCTCCGCGTACACAGAAGGAGGACGCCACAAGCCATACAACCGAACCATGTTATATGGTGACCCAGTTTGCGTCTTGGTGGACCTCTCAAAAGCTGCTGCATGGATGGTCTCGGAATTGTGCTAAATGTTTTCTCACCCCCTTCTAAATCTGTGTTACCGTTGATTCTCTGTTACGGCCACAAATGTCACACTTTTCCAAAGAAGGTAAAACTGTCAAATTGCATCGAGGCAGCTAAGAGCCGACTGACTTTGCAAAGGTCTGTTTCAATTTAGATCTCAGTGAAAGCCAGGAGTCAACAAAAAGGCATGAATTAAATGGGAGCAGACAAGGCCCCTGCTTCAGAAGTTCCTCTCCAACAGCCAACCACCATCACTAAGCCTCTCCTAAATCGAGATGATCTTGCCAGCTATCCAGTACTGCTCACTTCCAGTTCCTTCATACGTATCATGAAGATAAAGTTAGAAAAAGACATTTCAGTATGGAGCTCAGATTCCCCCAAACTCTCATGTTTCTTTTTTGAAAAAAATTATTCACTTATATAATTGAATTAAAACATTAATCATAATCATCAGCATTTAGGATTCCTTGAATGCTTAGACTTCCTTCCACCCCTCCATGGTTTCCATTATCAAACTTTTTCTGCTGCATCATATATTTTCTCTATTTTTCTTGAAATAATCCATTTTCACCTAAGTTTTTAACACATTACAAGCATTATCTCAATTCCTGCCAAGGTTTTTAATTGTCTACAGTGTTGTATTTTTTTCCCATTCCTTATTAAAGCTTCTATCTTTCCCAGTCATTTTCACCATTTCAGCGTAGTCCATCATCTTCATCAACCATTTGTCTCTGGTCAGGACTTCATCTTCTTTCCATCTCTGGGCCAGTAGCATCCGGCTGCTGTCATCGCATACATAAATAAGTGTTTCTGCTTCTTTGGTGTCTCTGCATCTAAAATTCCTAATAAAAAAGCTTCTGGTTTTTTCAAGTGTTACAGGAAACCTTCCAGGGTGACTCTTACCTTTGTACAGTAGGCTACATTCTAAGGGCACACCTTTCTATTCTCCAGCCAGGGAAGAGTGAGTCATGATCGGATAGTTCAAAAACACTCAAGGATGTCAACCAGTCCCCACCTAGACTGCAGTGAAAGGGCTTAGGAAGCTTTGTGGTAGCTTTGCTACAGGAAACCACTACAAATCCAGGATGCGGATGGCCGCCAGGACCATATAACACCGGTCCCAAAAGACCTACATTGGCTCCCAGTACGTTTCTGAGCACAATTCAAAGTATTGGTGCTGACCTCTAAAGCCCTAAACAGCTTCGGCCCTGTTTACCTGAAGAATTGCCTCCTCTCCCATCATTAAGCCCGGACACTGAGGTCCAGCTCCGAGAGTCTTCTGGTGGCTCCTTCACTGTGAGAAGTGAAGTTACAGGGAACTAAGGGCCTTTTCGGTAGTGGCACTCACCTTGTGGAATGCCCTCTCATAGATATCAAGTTGTATAGATACCTATACAACTTTTAGAAGACATCTGAAGACAGCTCTCTGTTGGGAGGTTTTTAATGTTTGATGCTTTATTATGTTTTTATGTGTGTGGGAAGCTGCCCAGAGTTGTTGTTGCTGCTGCTGCTGCTGCTGTTAGGATATTGACAAGCTGAAACGTGTGCAAAGGAGAGCAACCAAAATGATTAAGAATTTGAAAACCAAGCCTTATGAGGAATGTTTGAGAGAGTTGGCTATGTTCAGTTTGGATAAGAGAAGACAGAGATTAAAGCCATCTTCAAATACCAAAAGGGCTGTCACATGGAAGAGAGAGTAAGTTTGTTTTCTCCTGCTCTGGAGGGAAGGATTCGAACCAATGGCTTCAAGTTACAAGAAAGAAGATTCTGACTAAACATCAGGAAGGACTTTCTGACAGTAAGAACTGTTGAACAGTGGAAGGATCTCTCTCAGGAGGTTATGGACTCTCCTTCCTTGGAGGGTTTTAAGCAGAGGTTGGATGGCCATCTGTCATGGATGCTTTAGTGAGATTCCTGCATTGCAGGGGGTTGGGCTAGATGACCCTTGGGGTCCCTTCCAATTCCACTGTTCTATTATTCTGTTATTCATATTCCTATACAGTGGTACCTCGGGTTAAGAACTTAATTCGTTCTGGAGGTCTGTTCTTAACCTGAAACTGTTCTTAACCTGAAGCACCACTTTAGCTAATGGGGCCTCCCGCTGCCGCTATGCCGCCGCACGATTTCTGTTCTCATCCTGAAGCAAAGTTCTTAACCTGAGGTAATATTTCTGGGTTAGCGGAGTCTGTAACCTGAAGCGTATGTAACCCGAGGTACCGCTGTACTAGTTTACCTAAAAAGAGATCATGGGTTCACTGACCAGGCCAGTAAAATGCTACCTGGGTTTGTAATTCTAATTAAGCTGTAGGGTATTTAAAGAAATACAGTTTTAAAAAAAACCTCAGGAAAGCTCTTGGCTGTAGGCAGCATTTCTCCACCGAGACAGGGTGGTCCCTACTTAGCGCAAGGAAGGCGAGTCTTCAGTTTCTGGGATGCGGCTAAATGGCACTCCTCCTTGACCAGACACTTTTGCCTTCTCTTTTCCTGATGATTTTAAAATGCCATTAATTAAGCAGATCGCTCTGATTGGACGGCTGCTGAGTCCCGGCGGGCCCCTCGCTGCCATATAATGGGCAACTTGGGCAATGATTAATATCCCGCCCCCGGTCAGGGCACCGCGCGGTGCCAGCTGGCTCCGGAACGAGCGAGCGCATCCAACAGGACCAGCCTTTCTCTCTGTTAAGAGAGGGACAGCAGAAAGCGCGACGAGCCGCCGCCGCCGCCCCAAGCTAGGCAGAGAAGTGGGGAGGCGAAGCGGAGAGAGACACCCCACCCCCGCAGCAACCACCCAAACACTCCGGTTTGGATCCAAGAGGGAATCGGGCGAAGCGAGAGCGCGCGAAGCCCCCGGCTCCGGATCCCAGACGGCAGCAGGAAGGAAGAGGGAAGCGCGCGTCCGGAGCGCAGGAGCGGTGCGCACAGCTTACAAAGGCGGTCAGAGCCCGATCCCGGGAGAAGACCTCAGCACCTGGACGATCCTCGAGTGGGGCACAAAGCCAGCCCTGGAAGGGGCGTGCAGGACTCTCCCTGCCCCGAGGTGAGGCACGGAAAAGCGAAGGGGGCGCACGTCTTCTTCGCCCATCCCGGCGCAAGAGCGCACGCCCCGGGGTCCCGTAAGAGGGCCGCGGGGCTCTGAGCGGAGCAAACCGGGCACCCTCCTGCTCTTCTTCTTCGCGCAAAGGGGCGCACGTAGCTTCTCTCCGGTCCCCGGCCTGCTCGGCGCTGTGGAGAGAGCTCCGACGGGCGGCGGCGCCGATGAGCGTGGCTCCGGGCGCGCAGCTCTTCGCCGGCTCGGCGGAGCTGCCGGAGAAAGCCATGGCCGAACTCAAGTCCTTGGGCGGAGAGTCGTACCTGGCTCTGGCGCAGAGCTACAATCAGACGGCGTTCGCCTACGGCGCAGTGCGAGGCGGCGAGGCCATGCGCGGGTACCCCGGCGGCGCGGGCGGCCTGGACTTCCATGCCGCGCAGTTGGGGAAGTCGGCGGAGAGCAGCGGCGAGCAGAGCTGCGACGAGGAGGACGCCTTCGACGGCGCCAAGGAGGGCAGCCCGGCGTTTGAGCGCGACGGCAAGCTGAAGGCGCCCGGTGCCCTCGGGGGGACCAAGAAGCCCAAGGAGCAGCGCTCGCTGCGCCTCAGCATCAACGCCCGCGAGCGGCGCAGGATGCACGACCTGAACGACGCCCTGGACGGCCTGCGCTCCGTCATCCCTTACGCGCACAGCCCGTCGGTGCGCAAGCTCTCCAAAATCGCCACGCTCCTCCTGGCCAAGAACTACATCCTGATGCAGGCGCAGGCCCTGGAAGAGATGCGGCGCCTCGTGGCCTACCTCAACCAAGGCCAGACTCTCAGCACGCCCATCCCGGCCGCGCTGGCCCCCTTCGGACAGTCGGCCGCCGTCTACCCTTTCACGGGCGCTGCTTTGGCCAGCTGCCCCGAGAAATGTACTGCCTTCCCCGGGGCCACCTCTGGCCTTTGCAAACACTGCAACGAAAAACCTTGATGTAGCCGTTTGACCTTAGAACAAACTCCAAAAAAAACCCCCACCCGACTTCCCTTTTCACTCCATCAGCCCCGCCTTCTCGCCATCAGTTAAGTTGCAATTTTTTTGCTTTCAGCTGCTTTCCCGGCTTCTTTTGCTTTCCATCGTCTCCCCTGTGAAAATAATCCGGATTCTCCTTCCTCACCTTTCCATACACACCTGCAAACCATGGTTTAATCATTTCACCGTCTTCCCCAAACTCTCTGTAGATCCCCCCCCTTTCCTCTTTCAGATCTGTCATGGATTAATTTTGTGCATAACTTTTTATTGCTACTACTATTATTATTATTCTCGTTTTGAGGCTGCCTTAAGCCAGGCTTTGAAATATGTCTCTATACCTAGAGTAAAAGAGAAGGGGAGGTTTTGGAAAGGAAACTGCAGTGAGAGTCTCTCTGGAATGAACCGACTTGTGTACAAACTATGCAATGTTTACAGAATGCAAAAGTTACTAAAAATGGAAAATATCCTCCAGATATAATTGGCAGTATCTGTACAATCAAACATTCAAATGACACCTGATCTTTCTATTTTTTATTTACATTTTCATTTTGGGTGCTGCTTGTGAAATTCAAGAAGGCTTCTTAATGGGTTGGTCAACTAATTTATACACACACATATTTTTAAACATTGAACCCATTCTTGGACTTTTGACTACAGTCTTTCTATTGTACGCTGTTGCCTGCTCTCTCTCTCTCTCTCGCTCGCTCTTTTGCTCCTTTTCTCTTTTTGCCTGTTTCTGAGCTTTGGCAGGACCACTTTTCAAAGTCGGCCACACATCTTGGTAAACAAGGAAATAAAAATTCATTGAGCTTATTTATATGTATTTATAATAAATAAAAAGGACATCAACTAACTTGGGTTCTGTCCTAAATCTCTCAGAAGGTCAGTTTGCTAAGCAAACCAATCCTAAAAAGAGACATTGATGGCACTGAACTGAGTAAATCTTCCACCCTCTTCCTAAATACCGAGGGCATAACCTGGCCAGATTTAAGCCCTCTTCTTGATTTCAGTGGGAGACAAAACGAAGAGTTGATTCTTCCACTGAAAACGAAGAAAATTATACCTGTGCATGCTTACACCCAAGTAACTCCCATTGAACTGTATAGGACTGGCCGCCTCTTGAGTGAACAGTCATGTAAAATTGTCTGTGTGATTGCATAAATTTGGATTCTGCCCGTAGGAAGCAATTTTTTTCCTAGTAGTTGGTAGTAAGTTTTGCTGATATTAAGTGAAGTTTTATTGCAAGGAAAAGATATTTTGAATTGGAGTGGGACAGATTTGGGGGGTAGAATGGGACTGAGGATTCTTAACCCCCTTCTCCTTTGCTTGGGAAGGGTCCACAGGTCCCTGGCAGCACACCTGCTGTGCATGTAGAAGTTCCCAGGTTCAATTCCCGGCTTCACCAGGTAGGTCAGGGAGAGATCTCTGTCCAAAATCCTGAAGATTTTGCAGTCAGTGTAGAGACAAAATTGGACCAGATGGACAGCTTCCTATGTTCTTACTCAGCAGTAAGTCCCACTGAAGTTTTGAGTTAATGTGCTTATCTTAGCTCTGCACCCTTATTCAGAAACGTTGCACTGAAATCTATGGAGCATCCTTCTAAGTAAGTATGTTTAACACTTGAGTATATATGTTTAAAAAAATCTGTTTCTCTCTGCATTCAAGATCTTTAATCTTCCAGAGCTGTACAACCTACAAACCTCAGAAATCCAACATAAGTACATTTGTGTGACCTTTGTCCATTGGAAATCAACAGTGATTGGACTTTGGGTCAAGTTGTGTCCGAATGAGAAGCACTGCTTATTTACCTCCCCAACCCCTTGCAACTGAGAATGAAACAGAAGTGAGCATTGAACTTGATGGATCGGCACAGTTGACCAGCAAGTTCTTCCTCCTGGAAGCTGCAGGGAACGTGGAGGAAAAGGGAGATGGATTTGGATTTTAAGGAGATGAAAACCAACGAGGTGGTGTCCAGTGTCTTAAGAGCACGATCCAGTGGTCTACAGGAGGGAAGGCAGGAAAAGATTATGCAGTTCCGTGTGGGGAAGAGCAAGCCTTGCACAACTAAACGTGCGCCATCAGCTGTGCAAAACAAGTTTTTGCGCATGGAAACCAATGATCTTGTTACAGTGTGCATTGCTGGGAAGGCTGTTTTTCCTTGCAGCTCTGTTGTATCTGCAATTTGTTTAACCAACAGTCATGAATAAAGCCTGTAGATTGAGCTGCTTACCTAGATACGCTGCCCAGCCTACAGTTGCAGTCTTGTGCACACTGATTTGTGCTGAATTCAGTGAATCTTTTCCCCGACTTGCAGCCTTAGACTCGATCTAGTTCATTAGGTCTCCCTAATCAATACAGCTCAAGGCAACTGTATTTCTGTTCCTTTACTTGAAATACCATAGTTCTCATTGAAGTCAGGAGGACGGAGGATTGACTAATATTTTGGTTTTGAATGGTTGCTTGGACTTCAGCCACACGAGAAATGGCATGTATTACTAGCAAATCGACGAGGCAGTCGATTCAGCCCATTAAAGACTACTATGATTAGCATGTACTTAAATGAGCTGAAATAGTTGGTGCACCCAATAGTCGTGTCTTTGGTCTTTCAGGTCTTAAGACGTGGCTGGTTTGTGGGTCATTGTGTTACTGCCTTTCTAGTATTTGCCTCATTGATAAGTGATGCCGAGTGAACTTTTGGGTGAGGAAAGCTATGCCTGGGTTTGGAGGGGATTTTCTGGGGTTTCCAGTGCAGTCATAATAAATACGCACTTTGCGATTTGCGTTCGGATAGGAGAAATCTCACCATTCAATGTCAGAGCAGCCGCACAAATTGGTACAATGGAAGCCTCGGGGGCTTGATCTGTCCAGGGCTATTTAAGTTAGAGGTGGGGGGTGTAAGTATTTAAGGTTATTAAACCAATTTCCTGGGCTGTCGCAAATGTTATGCTAATGCAAAAGGGACTTGCAGTGCCTCCAAACCTGCTTGTCTCAAGCATTTAATTTTAATTAATACACTTTTTTCCCCCAGAAACCCTTTTTTTTTACCTCATGTGTTTGCAAAAAAAGGAATATGTGATTAACCCTCATTCAGAAAGACATATGGTTTCAAATTGGTTCTTCTCATTTCCATTTTAATTTCTTCATTTTATTCTTCAGAAGCCTAGTTTATCTACATTCTGCCCCACAAAGGCTATATTAAAACAACAAAAACTGGTGGGGTTTTTTTTTTGGGGGGGGGGTGCAATATCAGATACGTCCATAAAAGAAAGGAAGTGAGAGAACGGGAAAGAAAGGCAGTAATCATTTTCAATATTGCAGACTGCTGAGATGCCAGAAACATTTGTGTGTGTTTTAAATAGAGGTTTAATTTAGGAGTGAATCATGATGTTCAGATAAACGTTTATTAATTCTGGCACAGAGCCCTAGACATTAGAGTTAACTGGGATTATTTAAATGCAGAATGTTATTAATTGTTCAACTTTCAGTCTTCCCACCCCCTCTCCACCAAAGAACCGCAGAATAAAAAGTATTTAAAGAGCCTGATTTTTAAAAAGAAACAAGCTCTTCTTCTTTTTCAAATCAGCGACTTCTATTAATAACAATGGGATTTATAATTGCTCTCTTTTTAGATAATAATGACTGAAAAGCTTCGATTCTCCTACAACTGCCAGCTTATGAAAAAACCTCCCATATTGTTAAAAGATGTACTGTCTGCGGCAGAGGTAAAATGGGGTTTTACCATTACATTATTGCAAGCAGAAATGTTGACTGAGTCATATGCTACTCTGGTCTGGTGGATGGTGCAATCCAGGCAAAATTGAGACTGTTGCATTCAGCTGAAGTAGTTAGGTGAAATTTCTCCCAGTGGAATGAATGGGACTTAAATGTGCTTATCTTTGCAGGTGGATTTCGCCTGCCCCAAATTTTCAGAGAGCGGGGAAAGCCTCACATACGTTGACACGCCAGTCTTTCAACGTGAAACCATTTCCCACAAGCAGACCCATGTTCTATGAGAGAACCGTGGTGAGACCTTGGAAGGGAGAATTGGTGATGGATGAGTGAAGGTTCCTCCATTTTCTCATTGTTCTCTATGAATACCTGCTCTCAGATCTCTTTCTTGATTTTACCCAGCCGGCCAGGCTCCAAACCAACTGGTGTAGAAGCAGTGAGGGACTGTGGGTGTGCTTGCAAGGAGAAATCAGAAGGTCTGGGATTTAATCGCTCTCCTTTCCCACCTACCAGTTCTCCTCCCAAGCCCACGTTTATCTTGGCAAATGTTTTGGGAACTTCTGTTTGCTCAGAAATAATGTCCTCCTGCTCTGAGGCTGCAGCTTTCAAATTGCTCTCACTCTGGAAAAGTCCCACAGACCTTGCAAGTTTGCCTATGTCTACTCCAAAATGAGGCCCATTGGAATTCAGTGAGCTTTGCAACCGCTAATCACTTTGTGCAATTTTTCAGTGGAAATGGCTGTTTTTAGTAACAGTAAAATCAGTCTTAGCAAAGTCTGAATGAAACAATGGTTTGGGTTTCAGCAAAAAAAATTCAACCATGCTGATGCTGTGAGCTGGTTTTATTTGTATAGATATATCACTGTAATTTGATTAGAATATGAAATGTATTACTGAACATATTGGCAAGATTTTTGTGTGTGTTTCTGAATGTATAGATATGGATTATGTTGTTTGCCCCTCATGTGGTAAATAATCAACATTAACGTGCGAATATGGATAATCCCAAACAAATTTTCTGAATGCCCCAACATACATATAGATCTCCCTACTTTTTTGGACATGAACCACTAAAGGGGAATTATCGCCAGCTGGATGACTGTCCTCATTCACTGGTGTATTGCTTTGTTTTTTGGACATTTCCATAATTCATATGGCAGAGACTAACATATCATCTTCTTGTTCTCCCTGCTGCAGTCCAATGCAATATCTGCAATCTTCATTTAGACAGCAATTGCCCAAACTAACATAGAAGGAGGTTTGGGGTGTAACTACAACTACAGATAGCTGAATTTGGGACTGTGCTGGATGTGGTCCCCTCATTTTTTGACAGAGCCCTCTTTTAAATAAGGCTACAGCCCTATATGTTGGGAGTGTAAGAACTGTGGAATGCTGGGGGCAGGTGACTTTCTTCCAAATGAACATTCATAAGATCGGGCTTAGATTATGTTTGGGTTTAAGGTAGTAAACTTTTACCAATGTATTATTGGAGATGCCGCTGTATCTGGCACTGGGAGCCTCCCATCATCCCCAAATAATATTATTATTAAAATTTATGTTCCTCCCAAAGGAACCCAAGGTAGCGCAGAAATGGTAAAACATCTGAAAACAATTTCAATGCGGATGCAGACATGGGACATGGTGGAGGAGGGCCAGACTAGGAGGAAACCACAGATTCCCCATCCCTGTGAAGTCCATGGTTGTGAATTTCTTTGCACTGCTCTGTTAGCACAGGAAATAGGTACTTCGTGGTGTATTTAAACAAAACAGGCAAGTCTTTTCTGCTATCACACTTTACAGGGCAAGCTTTATCAGGTGGGAAGGTAAAGGAAGGTAAATTTTAAGCATATACCGTATTGGCCTGAATATAAGTCGCACCTCCCCCCCCCCAAAAAAAATTCTGACCTTGAAAACTTAAAGTGCGGCTTAAATTTTCAACCTTACAAAAATTGGCTTGTACGATATCTCTGCTG